GAAAGGTCGAGGAGCCGGGACTTGAACTCGGGACACCCAGAGCACAACGGCACTATATGTCGGCGCACTGCCCACAAGGCTATTGGCGCCGACACAATTACATATTTTAAGGGTTAAATACATGTGTGCATCCCCTTCACACGTTCATATTGCATTTCATTTGAAATGTTTAACTTCCTGTTTAACTTCCTCTATTTTTCTTTTAGACATACCTGCTATGGCAAATTCCCTGAAGGCAAATGTAACACTGAAGGCAGAGAAGGAGATCAGAGAGGAGAAAGAGGGAGCTAAAGAAATGGCTGACACCTTGGATGAGCCTGCAGAGGAGGAAGAGGATGAAGAGGAGAGAAAGGCACGGGAGGCAGCAGCCAGAGAGAGAGCCACTCAGAGGCAGCTCATGGCGATAGAGGAGCTGGTGCAGACAGAGAGGAACTACCTGAAACATCTGCAGCTCTGTACGGTCACCATCCACAACAACCTGCAGAAACTACAGGTAGACAAGTTCTCTAGCAGCCATTTTCAAACATTACATTTGTTAAATTGCAGTAAAAGTCCTGATTTATCTGGTATGGTGACACGTGTTATTCTTAAGACCAACAGCTTTCTGTGTTTTACATGTATTGCTTCTATCACCACTGAAATAAAGCACTCTGAAATAATTCTTATATTAATATAAACATTAACAATCTAATCAGATAATATAACAGTTAGTTCTGTTAAAGCTGTATTTAACACATGGCCTCTAAACTGAAAAATGCAATTAATTTTCAGCAAACCTGCCATGTGTGTATATATATATATATATATATATATATATATATATATTTATTTTATTTTTTTTCAAATTAAATGTTCTTTTCATTTTAGAAACATTAACATCAAATAATTTGGTTGTTACATTACGTACAGGTCACAACTATTAACAGACATCATCAAAAACCAAGCAAACGTACTATATATCAAACAATGTGCAAAAAAAGGTAGTATTTAAAAAAAATATATAATAATGATGACAACAACATATTAAAAGAGTAATCAAAAAAAAAATTTATATTATTATTTGAATCCATCTGAAAGGAATGAGAAATAAAACAGAAATAATGTTTTTTTTTATTATAATTATATTATTATTATTGAGTGTATACCTCATAAATGGGACTAAATGATTTAGCTTTGATAATATCATATTATTTGGGTCTCTTGCAGCCTCCTCCCCCAAACCTGGAGAACATGTTTCAGCACATAGATGAAGTGATGGATGTTTCCAGCAGACTCCTGAGCCTCCTCAACCAGACACAGATACGTCACAGTGACCCGAAATACCTGGAAACTCTCTGTGAGTACAGCCAGACAGGCTGGAATTTCTGGTTCACTTTCAGTTTACTTGTCACATTGTCTATGTGTCATGCCCACCCACAGGTCAAAATATTTTGACCCCTGAGCTCATGAGTGAAGAATCCAGAACTTGAATTTCAAGATGGTAATGATGATGTATAGAATGTTTCAATTTATGTCCTTTTTGGAACTTGACAGTCTAAATAACCATACGCTTACACTACTGTTCAGAAGTTTGGGGTTTGTAAGATAAAAAAAAAAAAATGTTTTTGA